GATTCTGGTAGTCGTTCTGCAGCCTGGCAGAAATCAGTCTTGTATAAGCATACACTCTTTGTACATATATCTCTCAACCATTAAATTTCTATTCCACATATCCATGATTTTTGTTCAGGTTCACTGCAATAGATATTAAGTATGGAAATAATACAAATCTCAGAGAAATGTGTCAAGTGAAAGCTAGAAGTGGCACAAATGGCACGCCTCCCTGAATTGAGGTCACCCTGGATGACAGAGTGAAAATATCAATGTCAGGATTGTAATAATATTTGTGCAAGTTTCGTGAACTATGCTAACTTCACTATACTGAGGAGTTATATCTGGATATAAATAAATACAACAAGTCCTTGATACGTGATGGGGTTTTGCTGGGGATCTCCCATGGACACCAAAATCCATGACTGCTCAAGTCACATTATATACAGCTTGATACAATGGTCAGATATGGCAGATTTAACAGCATCCCTTATAATGAACGGATTTGTATCTGTGGAGCACCTGAAATTGAGGATATAGCACACATATTATATGATTGTAAATTGTATTAGAAGGTGAAAGGCTTCTATCTTGGTCCATATATGAACTGGAAAATGTATTGGGAATCTCACATCAGATCAACATATTTTATGTATGGCCAAGACCCAAAAATAACATATAAAACAGCTTTGTATTTAAGCAAAACAATACGTTTGAGAACCACATATGCGGGGTTGATTTGGATAAATGGTAGGGCTGATAAGGAAATATGATGTATATACTTGGTTTTATCATATCTTACGATATTTATTTACTGTACATATAAATAAGTGTCTTATTTTAACTTACCACATAGCGTGCACTTAAGTCTTATCAGGCTTCGTTGTTTGGTTTGGTATTATGATATGGCCTATGGGCTAATTAATAAAATTACTACTACTACTACATTACATTAAATGATATAGTAAAATGGTGTCCCTTATATAAAATGACAAAATCAAGGGTTATTTTTGGATTTTCTTTTGTAAAAAAAATTCAAATTGTGGATGGTTGAGTCTGTGGATGCAGAATATGTGAGTATGGAGGACTATAACTAGAAAAGGCTTTTTGAATCCTATGAATTATTTTACTTGTGTGCCCCCAAGTCATTTCTGACTTATAGGAACTCTAACTATCTTGTTACATGGTTGCTGGAGTCACTCCGCATTGTCGGGGGGGGGGGGGGGGGGGGAGAACCCTGTGTGACCCAGCTCCAGTAAAGGGTGATCCCATGGAGGAAGTGTCTTTCATGCAGCTTCTTCCCATAACTTCCTATGGTAACATGGGAAGCCTCCCATGTTGCCACGGTGGCAGCATGTGCTGGATCCACCCAACTTCACCCACAGAGTCCCCCCAGCATCATTTTATGGGAGCTGGTGGGCTCTGAGGGTGAACTGGGCTAAACTGGTGTATGCCACCGATTTTAGCCTTTTGTGATGAGGTCGTAAGACAAAGTTATCACATGGTTTTCTTGGCAAGACATCCAAAGACTGTTTTCCCCATCAGATTGCAGCTTCTGAATGAATGTGTGTATGTTTTCTTTTTCTCTTACTGTCTATCTTCATACATTCAGTAATTAATTTTGTTACACCAATTCTCAAAAAAAAAAATGTGATAGCTGCCTCATTCCAATGAGGATTTCTGCAGGTTATAATTCAAAAAAGAGGAAACCAATTTTAAATACAAACATTTGGTGTATCTTCAAAGCCTTTAGTGTATGTGTCTGTGTATGCATGAACACATTCAAGTGGGAGGGTAAGAGAAAAATGGCTTTACTATATGATAATGAATGCAAAATCCCAAGGTGAAGTCAATGGGGAATGTCAGCAATGGGAGGACAGCCCTCAGTTCATTTTAAACATTCTACAGTAAAATCAGATATGGCAATTGTAACTGCTAAAGTAATCAGCTGGGGCACAGAACCAAACCAACCTAAAGCTGTTTTATGGTCACAATAAGGCAAAGCTGGGGAGTTAACTAACAAATAATTAGTGTATAATTCCAACCCTCCCTCCTGCTCCAAAGTAGTCAGGAAACAGAGCTAGTGACAACATGAAACAGGACTTCAACTACTATGCCACAGTCTTCTTCAACTATTTTGTAGGCAATAGACTATAAAAGTAACTACAGTTACGTTGTTAGAGGACATGTGTGATAATATATTATAATAGATGATATGTTGAGATTCAGAGCAGATTTTGCTATTTTTTTCAGGGAGGTAGTACAGAAGTTTTCATGTTGGAAGAGTTGAGCTATTGTTACAGACATTTTTTAAGGTACTCAAAAGATCCTTTAGTGCTATACTCCTCATTTATGGCTTCCTCAGACTTCCATTTTGGGAAACTGGAAGTAACAGCATATAACATCTTTTTGAGACCAGTCAGGAGGTAGTCTTTGTCTTTTTCCAAGGGGTAGATTCTTCCCCAACTGCATTTTATGTGTCTTCAAGTTGAATCTGATTTCTAGATTTTAGGGGGGCAAGATGTGTTCAGAGACTGTTTGCTGTTGTCTTCCTCTTTGGCTTAAGTAGCATAACTTGCCCAATATCACCCTAGGGCAGTGGTTCTCAACCTGGGGTCCCCAGATGTTTTTGGCCTACAATTCCCAGAAATCCTAACAGCTGGTAAACTGGCTGGGATTTCTGGGAGTTGTAGGCCAAAAACATCTGGGGATCCAAGGTTGAGAAGCACTGCCCTATAGGCTTCTTTGGCTGAATGGGCATTTGAACCCTGGTATTCCAGGACTGCAGTCCAAGTCACTGAAGCACTATACTACACTGGCTCTTCAACACCATTCTCCAGCCCTGCAAAGTTGTTCCTATCCATTTAGGGATGCATTTTTTGATTAAAAGAAAATGGGTATGTGTCAGAAGTCAGCATAGTGTAGTAGTTTGAGCATTGGACAATGACTTTGGAGACCAGGGTTTGGGCAAGTCACATACTCCCAGGACCCAAATCCTGTGATTGGTTTGTTTTAGGGCCTCCAGAAATTAGAAAATCACACAATAACAATAGTAGGCTTTGTTGGGCTACAATAATAAGCAAAAATGCCCCAAGGGTCACACTGAGACTCTTAAAAGGGCTGCATGTTCCTTACAAATACCACAGATCCCAGTTTTGCTATATAGCCTGAAGGCAATATTATGTGAATTCACGATCAGCAGTTATTACTGTCTCTTTGCTCTATTGTCAGACCAGGAAGACTCATTTTAAATCAATCTAATAACACAGAAGACACTTTAAAATTCTGCTTCATCCTTGTAGAAAAAAGGTTAAGATGTCTAAATGTGATTTCCTTCATAGAATGGAAAAAAGGAACATGCTGATAATTTGAAGGACAGAAGAACCATTTAGAAAACTAAAGATGCTCCCTTCCTTTCCTCCCTCCCTTGCTTCCTCCCTGTCTTGTCAGAATAGTGTGGAGTTAAATATTAAGCAGGTCTTTAACCTGGCCCGTATGGTGGAAAAATAGGATATGTGAAACTGAAAAGCACTTGGAAGACCACTTCACTATATAAAGACTACAAAGGTGATGCTAAAATCAGCATAGGTCATCTTCCCCTTCTCACTGGAGACCTATCCTCTCAAGATATTTGGCATGTCAACTCAAAGTCCATCCTAGAATGAAAGCCAGCATGCTTGTGACACCTCCAGCATCGCAACAGCTCATGCTATTGACCTGGGATCCTTTCACATTACACAGGTGTCGTTCCGTGCTGCCATTTTAAATGTCATAGTTCTGTCCTATGGAATCTAAAAACTTGCAGTTTGGTGAGAGCTCATTGGTTGAAATTTCTAAATTCCTCTCCCTAAATGTATACCCCAGGATTCCATACGATATTGCCAGGATAGTTAGTGGAATCATAATGCTATAACTGTATTGGATGAAATGGCCTCTGCTGGAATCTTCCTAGCCGTAATCCCTCCACAAACTATATAAAGATGTGCCCAGTTTTACTGCATTTCCTGACACATCATGATTCTTGCCCCTCCCAGTCTACCTCTGATTTATGTTGTGATTGCAGTCTTACTAAGCGGTGCTGAACAATACATTTCCACATTTCCTGTGTGGCTGTATACAGTGGTACATCATGACTTGGCAAAAGGTTTATGAAACAAATACATATATAGACATGTGGGTTTGGGCCATGTTTAGGACTCCAATGATCAAAAAGGTGCATCTCTATTTAAGAGAAGAGTTTTCAGTTTTACCCATTAAAAGTGTTTGGGTAGCAGAAGCCCTCTTCTATCTGAATATGAGCACCTATCGTACACTCCTCCCAGCTACAAAGACATTTCCACACCATGAGAGAGATACTGGATCAATACGATTTTGTACCTTGCCCTTAGTCTAGTCATCACATTGATTCACCTCAGATGCATTCAAGACCCAAAGACTTTTTCAACCCCAAGGTTATGTGATTGTAAGCAATACCAGAATTTATTCAGATGACATTTAAGTGGAATAAAACCCCAAGTTATTAATTTTTTGACAGAGCCTTCCATGCCACCTCAAGCAGCTTGACGCAGGAAGGTAATGAGGGTTGTCAACTGTTTCACAGTAATTACTACCCACATGATATAATGCTACAAAATTACAATATATCTTAAGAAAGTGAGAACTGAAAGAATTCCCCTCCCTCCCTCACACACAGAAAAGCCAAGAAAAAGGAATATATGATGTGTTTTACCCAAAGATCACATTCAGACATCAGTACTAGTACATAAATTGTAGCATCAGAGTTCCAAAGTCTGCTTGTATATCCCGGGAAGTCTTGCCATGTATCTGCAAATGTGACTGTAATATCTCAGTTGTGCATAATATTTTTTTTTATAAAATACTCCTTGCAGAGTATGCCAGATCAATTAAATGTATAATATTAAAATAACACACTATTTCAGACACTTGCTTCCAATGCTACTTGCCTTAGAGCCCTTAAGACTTTTCAAATGAGAGACAGAGAGAGTCTTTAATGTACTCACGGTCATTGCACAGCGTTCCACTGAAAGAGGTCATACTACAGTCGCAGCTGAATCCATCCCATTGCTGCAAGCAGACTCCTTGGTTTGCACATGAGTCCTCTTGGCATGTTGTGCTGGGACCTAAGAAGGCAACACACAGGGGGAAAGAAAGAGAGAGAAAACTTGGATGTTTGTCTTTCATCGCCACCACACGTGCCATTGGATCACACAGGGTAGTTGCCAACATCTCATGTTCAAAGAGCAAACCAAAGGAAAGACCGGAGAACAGGATTGGTGGTAGCTTTTGTTCTTAAAGACTGCTCATTCAGAAGTCCCATATGGTGATGTTTTGTTTATTCAAGGGGTGGAGGGATGTAAAGGGATGAGTCCATTCAGAAATATAACAAAATAAGAGTGCTAACGCAAGCAAAATGAGGTGGTTGCAAATCTTGCTACTTTCACTCCAATATCTATGATTATTTCTCTTCAGCGTGATGAGTTCTGCCAGATACTGTGGGAAACAAAATATAAAACTATGTTTTGAAAAAAAGGAAGGAAAAAAAGCAAAACAAGCTAGAAAAAGAAATGTTCTGCCATCCAAGGAATGATTTGATGAAGAGCTATGGCCTGAATCCAATTGGGCTTTTTTGGACACAAGTAGACCTATTCAATCCTTTATTCACTGCTGAGTCCAAACATAAGTAAATCCTATGGATTCAATGGGCCTCCTCTAGTAGCCATTTGCAACAGGATTCAGGCCTACACACGTGGAAACTCAAGAGATGTTTGGGTTGGTGTATTTATTTAAAATAAATTGTGTCTTGGTTTCTTAGCAGGAATGTTGGCAAGTATCTTTTTTTGCATGCTTAAAATAATCCCATGCAGGTATTGAAAAGAAACGGGAGAAAAAGGAATCAGCCAACTAATGCACTGGCATGCTCAAAAGTGACATCACACGTGAGACATAAAGCTAGTCTATTTCTAAGATCATCAACTAAACCACTGAAGGCAGGGGGAAAAGAACTTAAAGAAAAAAGGCATGATCAAAGCACTAAAGCAATCACTATACAAATAGACACAAGACTGAAAGCCTTTATGCAAAATATCCTGTAAGAGGAAAGGTTTCCTGCATCTTTTTTTTCAAAAAGAAAATAGAAAAAAAATCTGATGCAATGTTAATGCGCATCAGCATCAAGGAGGCTGATGTTTCCCAATGTACCTTTGGGTGGGTTTCAGTCTTGTTTAATATACACAAGGGCCATCTACCTTGCAAATCAGCTTTCATCAATGCAACTTTGTCAGCAAAATAAAAAAAAAGCAAAATATATTCAATGTTAGTAAGCAAATATCGAAATGGCATCAAACACAGAAAGACTCTTCAGAGAGAGAAAACGTGCATGCCGCTCTTGAAAGAGGAAAAAGAAATTCCATGTAATGCAAATAAATTAATGCTAATAGACATAAATCTCCAGGCAAGCCAAAATGAGAATGCAGTAATTTGCCAGTATTTGACTACAAATATAATGGTTAATTGAGCTGATGACATGTAATGAAGGAAAATTAAAACCATGTCTTTTTGTAGGACAGTCGCAAACATATTAGCAAAGGGAATGCATGGTTTAATCCTGACTAGCCATTTGTTATGTTCAGCAGCAGCTGGTTCCATCTTTAGCACATTTTGTTTTCCCATCATCCTGTTCCCTAGGCCTTCTGCTGGAAACGGCAGAATTAGGACTGAAATAAATGCCAAGAATTACATATTAACCTCCCCCACCCCCCAGTACGCAATGGGTAAGGTCAAAAAAGTGCTCAAATTTGCCATTTCATTCTTTCAAAACTCATGTTAGTTCCCATCCTTGTATATAAGCATCTGATTTCCTTTTAACAAAATGGTCTCAGTGGAGGTGTCTAGCCATTTAAGTCAAATGTTTACACAAGTGTCCAATTTGTATGTATGTGTCATGGTTTTTACCTTGAAAACAAGCCAGATTGGGGGTCAGAAGGCAAACTATTCATCAGGTAAAGGGGCAGCTCCAGGTCAGAATAAGCAGCTTTAGAGGTCCAGTTGTAACCTTACTGCCTCCTGGAGACATCTGAAACTGGTGGAAGAAGAACCACGATCCAATGGCTTTTGGTGACCTTCATGACTTCTATGTCAGTGGAGACCATGAAACCAAAGTTTGAAAGCACTCACTCAAATGTCAAACTTATTTTCAAGATGACATTCAGCATGTGAATAGCTCCCATAAAGTTCAGACCAAAACCCAGAGTTGATTCACAACTAAACTGATAACAGTGCAACCATTTACTGACTACCACAATGTAGGAATGCATTTATTTGTTTGTTTGTTTCAAGTTCTTTTTTTCTTCACTGTGTGAGGTTTCCATTTTTTTCTGATTTCAGGATTTTTCTCCTCTAAATCTGGCCAACAAAAAGTCTTGTACAAAAAACCGCAAAGCCTTTTTTGCACATTTTTGGGCCAAATTTAAAAGAGGAAAATCCTGAATTGCTTTTTTGGGGGACAAATAACACATTGTTTGTGTTTTTATTCATTTTGTTGACATGCTGAGACTGAAAAAAAGAATACAATCTTACACAGGAACAAAACATATCATGCTCTGAGTCTTCTAAGGATAAGCAGATGTATAACCCTTGTATCCACAGTGAGGGCCAGCAGAGTACTACTGAAGAGCGGCTGCTTGAGCCCTCTGCTGGCAAGGTTACAGACTTGGATCCTACCTTGACATCTTGGATCTGAGACTAGTTCATTTTGTCAATATAAGTTGAGCGTCCCCATCCGGAATTCCAAAATCCAAAACACTCCAAAATCCAAAATTGTCCATCTTGATGACTGAGAGTCTAACATATTCACTTTCTGATGGCTCAATGTACACAAACTTTTTTCATGCACAAAATTATTACAAATATTGTAGAAACTGTCTTCTGGGTATATGTATAAGGTATATATGAAACATAAAGGATGTTCAGTTTACACTTGGATCCTGTCTCCAAGATCTCATTATGTCCCTATATACCATGGAAACATGGGATCCTAAGGTTTATAGTTTGGGGAGGCACTTCAGTTCTCTGGCTATACATGCTAATTGCCTCTTTCTGAAATGCAACCACCAAATTTCCACAGGATGCTGCTTTGGTGGTTAGCGAGGACTCACAGTGTTACAATTATGTAATATGAAAGGACTCAGATAACCTTGTTCAAAGTAGATATGTCTTGATATTCTGTGTTAAATGGCTATGAGGAGGACCCCCCCCCCCGTCTCTCTCTTAGGGCCCTACCACAAAGCCATATAACCAGAATATCAAGGCAGATAATCCACAATATCTGCTTTGAACTGGGTTATCGGAGTCCACACTGCCATATTATCCAGTTCAATGGGGCCTTTACCGGATCCAGTCTCCATGCCATGGTTAAAGTATGGAAATCTTTAAAGGAGCAGGCCTTCAACCTGGAGACTATAATCATTACTAGAAGCCTATATCAGTGAGAAGATTCAGGCCCCTCCTACACTGCCATATAATCCAGATTACCAAAGCAGATAACCTGGATTTCATGTGGCAGTGTAGAAAGGGTCTCAAATGGAGAGACCACCGGCAGCTAAGAAGCTGGGTATTCATGAAGATTTGGCTTCAATAGTGAAGTTAGTAGAGGTCTTTGTAAAAGATTTCAGATTTATAGATTTGATATTCTAATCATCCCTGGTTACAGGGCACTGGCTTATCAAAAGTTCTAATGCTTATCTGTGTAGTGCTATTTTCCTCCTCACCCCATCAATGCCCATGTTATAGATGGTATTCTAGACCAGGACACCTAAAAATGATCATTACCATTGCTTCTCCAAATGCCCAGATCTTTCCCTCTATTGATGGCACTGAATTTCAATCTATTCTGATTACATTTTAATGAAGAGATAAATAATAGAAAAGACTGCTAGGCTAGCAAAGAAGCCATTAGAATGGCCTTTTTAAAGTACACACCACACTTTGCTTGTATCCGTTCAACTCACATCCTCAACATTCCAGTTTTGTTGTGTAAATAAAATCAATCATCTGAATTGCCATTTGTTATTTCATCTTTTTTTTAAAAAAAACCCTCAAATTGTTAAAAATTGTGATCTTTAAGAATTTGGTCAACTACGTTATCAAGTAGCTATTTAAATACCGGGCTCCAGGCACTGACAAAATACATCACCTTCTGCTCCCCTTTTCACCTGCATTAGAATCTGTTATTTACATAGATTTACCAAATAAAGTGACATTAGCTTTAGGTGTTTGGATATTATACAATCACACTCTTATTTACACCTTAGTCATTCAATGGTAATCATCAAATTAAAATTAGAATTCAAGTCACAAGGATAGAAAAGATCAAAGAGAAATATGCAACAAGGGACCAAATTAAAGTATATGAGTAAACATTGGATAGAATAGGTTAGTTTTCATCTTCTTGATCCCAAACAGAGGGAACTATATAGCTCTCCAGATGCTGTTGGACGGCAATTCCGGTCAGCCCCACTAAGCACAACCAACAGAGATGAGTATGGAGCTTTGTAGTCCATCAACATCTGAGGACTGCATAATCTCCAGCTATGATTCAAATCTGATTCTTATTCTCAACTAGAGCCAATGAATCAATCAAATTACATGAGTGTTCACTTACCATTCAATGGTTGATTCAATTAGTCTGCTTTGCACATGAAATTGGATTTAGGACTTAGTATTACATCACCCTTCTACTAAATACCTATAGTGTGTTATGCATTTTTATTCTAGTGTATCTATTAGCATGATGGTTAGGTAAGCAGAACTCTACTAATACAACTGAATATCCCTGTTGCACAAAGGCCAACAAGTACCATCATATTTGTAGAGGGACTTTGATATGAGTATGCCACCAACAGAATTCTGCCCTTCAGCAAATTTCAAATACAGAATATTTCAATGTGCCTTTTAAATATCGGTGCAGCAACATTAGCCTTGGGTTTATGTAGGAAAGCTAGGATTACTAAAATAGGGAGATTTTTTTTACAAATCCAATGTTGATCTATAAGGATTTAGATTCAGTGGCAATTAAACACATTCTGGTATTATGGAAGAGGAGCAATGAATGCATACCTGCATCTGAAATGTGAGTTTCCCTGGAGCTCAACACTTTTCATTCAGGTACTCTTTACAGGACCAGTTAGAAAGTGCTGCTTCAGAGTTTGAGAAGCACTTATCTAGGACCGTATATACATTGAGCATTTAATGTAGTTTGAAGTTAGCTTCAAACTGTGGTGGCTAGACAACAAACTCCCACAAAAGAACATAAAATAAAGCCCTTTGTATGCCATCAGTGTTCCATGGTCTGCTTATCATCACTTGGGCTTCAGACTGCAAGATTTCTTATGTAATCACTTGCACATCAAAGCCACTTTCTTCATTTCTGGTTTGAAACTGCATTAATGGTCAGTATAGATGAGGTCTCAGTATGCCCAAACTCAGCCYCTTCTACACTGACATTAGTTTTCCTCTCCCCATGCAGTGGGGAGAGGAGAAAACATTTGTCTGCCTCCCACGAGTGTGGGAGGGGTTTGGAAGAACCCTCCAGAAGGATGAGGGCGTGGCCTGCATGCAGGCTGGACCCGAGCGGGCGCATTCGGCGCCCGAAAGCTGGCCCACCACTCCCGCCCATTAACAGTATATTTCATGGTTGCCGGTGGAACCGGGTAGGAATTTTTTCCCCTTCACTGATTTTAGTGGGGGGGTTTTTTCGCCTACCCTATACTGTTTAGGGGCTAGATGGAGGAGTGAGCTGGACATTAAATAGGTTTAGCATAAATAGTTAGGAAAATTCATGTTAGTCGGTGTGCACCTAGGGCACCCCCTTAAGGGGTGACAGGCCATTGAGTTGAGCATTCACCACAGTTTGAAGGTGAAGTGCAGTTAAATGGCCTAGTAAAGGAGGAGTCTGGAGGCAAGAGATTGCGATCAGACTCCTCATTCGTTCTCCCTTCATGGTATCTGGTTTTAATACCGGAACCCAGGTGCTTCGCCCGGAAATTCTTATTATCGGGTAGTGATTCTACCTGGGTTAGTTGTTCCAGTTTCTGACACCCTTGAGATAGATAAGAGTTAAATAGGTAACGTTAAATAAAAGTTGCCCAATTTGAATCCAAGAAATGGTGTCGTATCTTTATTTTGCGTCCTTCTTCGAGGGTTGGCAGACAAATAAAATCCAGATTATCTGCTTTGACCTGGATTAGAAGGCAGCATAGACTCATATAATCTAGTGCAAAGCAGATAATGTAGATTATGTGATTTGATAATCTGGATTATAAAACAGTGTAGAAGGGGCCTCAGTTGCTTTATGTTTCAGTCATCTCCTTCTGACCTACTTCACTTGCGATTCCTAGGGCAGATTTTATATGGCATGGTCTCAAGTAGACACTGATGACAGGAGGTTTATCAAGATCCTAGTGAGCCATGATAAATGGCTGGTGAGATGAGCTCCCACTTTCTACATTACATGTTATACAGGCTTGAAATACTGCAACAAACTAATGCAAGAATATAGGAGACTATAAAAAGCCTTGAAATAAACTGGAGACTCTACTAAGCACCTTAACATTTCATTTGCACATGCAACCTATGCTAAAAACAAATGTGCATCTAAATCAAATTAGCTAATTTAGACACTAACTACCATCTAAGCACCATGATGATATAAAGTTGCTGCACGGGAGCTAATTACCACAACAATTAATTAAAATGCGACACAAACAAAACTAAGACATGGAAATCAGCTTGCTGGTGGCTCTGCTGATTATATTCAGGAAGATAAGTTAATGTTCTCAAGTTCAATTTGTGTTTTGTGCCATCAATGTACAACTCTATCTCAATAGCATCCACCTTCATTAATAATGTAAAACCGGTCCAGCTTATGACTGTAGCACAGCACAAATTGATGACAGCGGGTAAGATGGAGAACTGTCATCATCTAAGTACAAATAAACATAGCACAGCGGGGGAGGTGCTATTACACCCCTATGATGGGGTATAGGATAATTTGTTTTACATTAGAAGAGGCTGTGACAAGATTATAGAATGGTTTTCCCATACCTTCGCATCCTCGTTCTATTTGTCCATTGCAAAACAGAGCATCTGAAATCAAATCTGGGAGGCGTCCATTCAGATCCACTGAGGCAAGGCAGCCTTGAAAGCCTTCCTTGGCATGAACCAATTTGGGCAAGGATTTGTAGGTCTCCTTTGCAACTCCTCCAATGTATAAATCACCTGTGAAGCCAAAGCACATGCTTAGTCAGAGTTTTTTTTTTTAATTGACTGTCTCATTGGAATCCTACAGAATTATGCTCAAGGCATCTTACAGTCAAACATGTCAAAACAGATCAGTTTAGACAACAACAATTTAAAACCCTTAAGTAAACACAAGAAGCAAGGCAAAATAAAATAAAGCCATAGTAACAAGAATGAAAGATCAAGATGTCAATTGATGAAGAGCTCTTGAAAAAAACACAGTCTTCATCTGGCACCTGAAGAAAGAACGAAGGGTAGGAGGAAAAGTATTGTTTGCAACAACATTGGAAATAATGATCTGCCACTATAGAGGTGACAAATCCAGTTCAGATTTTACTACGAGTCCCTCCTTCAGCTGTTTCAGGTTTCCCTTTCAAGTGCTCCTGGTCAGTTTTGGATAGTTGCAGAAAATGGGGCTAAAATGCAGTGGATTCACTACCTCACAGTGGTGGCTTCACCTGTATGTGCCAGTATTTAACCTATTTAACAAAATGGCAGCCAAAAGAATTGCTTTGAGATTTCCATCAGTCCCAAAATGAAAACACATTGAAACATTCTTTAAAAATGAATATGATAGATGGATGGAACCAATCAACCATCTAACCAAGTAGCCAAATGGCCAACCACCACCACCAAGTGACTGCCTATCCCAAACTCTTAGTGAATACCTCCCTCTCTAAAATTGCTATAAAGCATTACCCTTCAATTGACCATTTACCTGTAGTTCAGGTAGGGGAAAGTTATAATCCCAAAGGACTAGAGTGAAGCGGCTTCTCCCCCAGGGATCATTGATGCATTAATATTTTCATTTTTTATGCTTTACTTTGTTCACATAATACCAGTTTTTGGTTCACTGCACTAACATGGAGGTATATATTGATAAAAAACAGCAGAAAAACCAGGGTTCACATGCAAAAAAAAAAAAGCCTTCCATGTCATATTTAGAAGTACATCTAAACACTTGAATGCATTAAAAAAACATCCAGATTTGTTTCTGTGGTTGGTGCCTTACTAAGGTTCAGTAGTGCACAATGATAAACAATGATGGATATCATTATAACCGCACAGAAAACTCAAGTTGGTGATTTGTACAGGCAATATTTTTCTCTCTCTAATGCTTATTGGGAATGCAATGATAGGAAAATTATGAGAAAAAGAAGGAGCTAGTAAAGATAATCCTGTGCATATTCCCATTCAATTCTTAATTTTAGAAATGAACTTAATTAATCTAAAATTCAGGTGGATTGGGAAGAGAAGGGCCCTTTCTACACAGTGGTATAAAATCCAGATTATCTGCTTTGAAGTGGATTATCTGGTGTTGTAGACTCAGGGCCCTTCCACACAGCCATATAACCCAGAATATCAAGGCAGAATAACCCACAATGGCTACTTTGAACTGAAAGATCTGAGTCCACACTGCCATATATCTCAGTTCAAAGAAGATAATGTGGATTGTCTGCCTTGATATTCTGGAATACATGGCAGTATAGAAGGGCTCAAGATGTTCTCATGTACTCAGATGGTCCAATAGCTACTGAATCTCTGTACCATTGGGATAGGGGAAATCCAACTAGTCTGAACAGTCAGCAATGCCCATTTCACCACTCTGGGATGATGGTTACTTCCTCACCCAAAGGTCATGTCTCATCAGTAGATTGGGATCTGTTAGCTTTCCCCTCTCCCACTGATTTTGGATTATCTGAAAAAAGGACCTCACAACCTCTGAGGATGCTTGCCATAAATGCAGGCGAAACGTCAGGAGAAATGCCTCTAGAACATGGCTCTATAGCCCGAAAAAACCCACAAGAACCTAGTGATTCCAGCCATGAAAGCCTTCGACAATACATCAAAAGGCAGATGTCTTAGCTGACATTCCTGATGAAGATTTTCAGTGATTCTACACTAAGAAACCAAATAAGGTTGTGAAATCCTGCACCAACATGGATCCATCTTAATATAACACAGGACACTTGCTGGGCCAAATTCCCGAGATCAAACTTAGATCTCAAAAAAGTCAAAGCTGTCTAGGAATCAACAATACAAGGTGCTGATATTGGTTTTCCGTGCAGCAAATAAGTGTAGTGCTAGAGTGGAATTGTCATTTTCTACCCTCCCTGTGTTAATCATCAGCTCCTGTAGAGACACACTTTAAAAAGCAATACACAAATGGCTCATAATAGTTTGGTGGATGGGTTAACGACTGCTTTTCAGTCCCTTTTAGTCTTTATTTTCAAAGAATTAGTGCCACTGTTGTCCAATTCACTGCATGCAATAAGGGGTGCTATTATGCAGATATGATTCGCAATGCCTCACATTTCCTCACTGATTACTTTCTATATTAACACTAAATGTTTGTAATGTGATCTAAACACAGATCCATATATAGGGGCATTCACATGCATGCATACACACGGAGAGAATGTTTTAAAACTTTCTTATGACTCCAGTGCATAGAGAGAGCTTTGTGAAAATTTGGGGTATTGAAAGCATCACCTATTGGCCCTTGAATTTCATTTGGTGCACCTTTACTATCTCCCAGACCCCCAATCTTCCAGACACCTCCATTTTAAAGAACCTTTTGACTCCCTAAGCAGGTTGGGGAAAATCAAAATTGTGCCAATGTATTGCGTTTTTGCTCCCCAGATCCTAATCAATCTCTGGAAGAAACAACTCAAAAATGCACAAAAACAAAACCAGAAATCAGTTAAGTCTGTGTATGTGTACATGTGTCATGTGTGTTAGTGTTTGTGTATGTGGGGAGAAGTGCATGTGAACAATGGCCCCTAACTCTGCTACTGTTCCCCAGCCTGAAATATATAGAAGCTGTTTACTCCTTTCTGAAATTGCCTTGTCCCCATCGCGTTATGCAATGGCCTTAAAGACACATCTTCGATTGTATGGATGTTCCCTCCTGTAAATGAGAATGTTCAGTTATGGTATTTGGTTCACCATTCCTTCTATTTAATAGAAAGTGAACATAGAAACAGGCTCTGTAGCTAGCATCCTGTTGGTAACATATAAAAGTGTAATTCCTATTCATGCTTGTTTGTGCATTTTGTTCTTTGCAGAAGCTGGCATTCCCCTTCTCCCTCTGCAATATCCAACCTCCCTCTCCAGGCTGTAAGAACCATCTTTAATGGTTTGGCTATTACTATTGGAAAAAAGAATGGATCTTGTTTTGATCCCATAGTGAGGCATACACCAGGGACATCATTAGATGAAGCTAATGTAGGGAGATGTTCTCAGCTTTTGTCTGGCTGTGTCCACATAGCCAGATCTTCTCTAACCCCATCCTCTCTCCACAAACCACAAAATGGCTGTAGGGATGGGGACCATGGACTAGACAACAGTGACACTCATTTTATTTTATTTTTTTGAAATGAAAGAAGACTGACAACTCACTTATTCTACCATCTGAATTACTACCAGCAACATTATGTATGACATAGGTTCAAAGTTATAGGTGGCAGTTATGTAAAATGTGACCATCGGGGTTTTCATATTTCCAGTAGATAAAGAGTTGCATTTAGTCATTGTCTGAAGTTGTGGCCAGCAGCATACAAATTTACTCTATCCAGATAAGAGCAGATATTTAATGTGGACAGTCAGGACGATGGCTTTATGATAATAACTTTACTCATTGCTTTGCTGGTTGAACCATCAAGTTGTCACACAAAGCAAGCCTCATTATTCAGGGCAAAATAACGCTGTTCATGCAAATACAGTGTCAGCTTGCAAGCTATGGGGATGTGGAGGAGAAAGAGTGGGAGTGAAAATGCAAGGTAGCTGTGTCTTCATTATTAGAAAATGAAGACATCATCTGTAGGAAGCTCTTTTTCAGCGAAGGCAAGACTCTGTAAGTCTAATGTGACTTAGAAGTGTGCTCCTGTATGCTAACAATGTTCACCTATCATGGTAAGCCCCATTACTCAAGATTCAGTTGCACCCTGTTTCTAGTAATCTGATTTTGCAGCACGTCTGTTTCCTTGAGCTTCATGTCAACTAACTTAACAAAATTGCCTGTCTAAAGTTCTCATGCTGTTCATAATATAGTAGGTTTTTGTACTGTATAGAAGCAAACTTTCAATGTAAATTATATTAATGATCAAGCTGTTTGAAGGAAGAACCACCGCAACAATCATTGTGAGAATATGCTAAACATTTTGCTGAGATTATGTCATCAAAATTAATCATTCCTTGGTTCAGGGAATAAAAAGAAACAGCTTGCAGTATTTGCCTCCAATTTATGAAGTGGAATAAAAGCTCACTTCTTCATTGGAAAATCTCTCCGTTGTTGCTCATTCATTCAGTCGCTTCCGACTTTTCATGACCTCATGGACCAGCCCACGCCAGAGCTCCCTGTCGACCATCACCACCCCCAGCTCCTTCAAGGTCAAGTCCAGTCACTTCAAGGATACCATCCATCCATCTTGCCCTTGGTCAGTCCTTCCTTTTTCTTTTTTCCCCACCTTTTCTCCCCTTCTCACCCCGAAGGGGACTCAGAGCGGCTTAATATACACACTTATATATATACAATACTTTATACCATGAGCACAGTACAATATCAGCGCTATACATCACTATATTGTACTATACAATTATATTGTAATATAATTAGTAATATTACATGTAATATAAAATATATAATCCTTCCATTTCCCCCAGCATAATTGTCTTCTCTAAGTTTTCTTGTCTTCTCATTATGTGGCCAAAATACTTCATCTTTGCTTCTAATATCCTTCCCTCCAATGAGCAGTCAGGCTTTGTTTCCTGAAGTATGGACTGGTTGGATCTTCTGGTAGTCCAAGGCACTCTCAGAACTTTCCTCCAAAACCATAGTTCAAAAGCAGCTATCTTCCTTCACTCAGCCTTCCTTATGGTCCAGCTCTCACATCTGTAGGTGGCTACGGGGAATACCATTGCTTTAACTATGTGGATCTTTGTTGCCAGTGTGATGTCTCTACTCTTCACTATTTTAT